AGCATTGAGATGGAATTTGCAAGAATAGACACTAAGGACAGCCAGTTCTTAAGATTAAACTTGTTAAGTAGTCATTAGGACATTTGGACTATAAGTCTTGATGTGTCATGTGACAACATTATTTGAGTGACATACTTTTGTGTTCTCGTCACTCTCAATGGATACGGGTCTCCCCATAGATTCCACCTAAATGTCAGACTTGCCATACAAATGGTCTTAAACTAATTTTGTTGCGATTACTTGCTATATGTTCATGCTGACTAGGATTTTTGGTCTAACACTTGTTTTGGTGTCGACATACTGTTTTTCTATGTTCTAGAGACTTGTACGTAACTACTACCCTTCCCTCACGGTACTACGTCGCTACTGCTTTGCCTAGAAGCACGACGCTTGTATTGCTCTCCCACAACCCCGTTTTTTTTCTAGTTATTCCAAATGCTCGCCAAATCTGAAAAAACCTAGAGACGAGATCTTGTAGCACTTATCAATGAGGCCCTATCGACTAGTATTACACAGAAGAACATCAAACATATTGGTATTAGAGAGAAACCAGGAACAAAGAGCTTCCCCCCCCCCCCTTTCCGCTGACGGTCGGATCACCAAGGCCGACTTTCGTCCCTGCTCGACGGTTGGGTCTTGCAGTCAAGCTCCCTTCTGCCTTTGCACTAAGCTAATAGCCCGTCGTGCGATCCCCCGCTGGGGGCCCACTATGCCAAAAGGTCCTTGCATATGTATCTCAGGTTCTAGTGGTGTGGTCGCCGAAGGTTTGACTGGTCCTTTTAAGGAGAGCATGGGAGCATTTTTTAGACACCATCTTTTGAAGTTATTTTGGTGGTTTAGATGATACCCAAATTGTAATCTTCTTTCTTTCTGGAATTAGATTAGTAGGTTGTTATTCTCATAATTTATTGTTACAAATTGTAAATTAACGGACGTATTTAAGTTCCCTTTTGTGGAAGACTCATATTCTGATATTTATATGCCACATTTTCGTCTTTTTCAGAAATTTTTATCGTCCCATTTTTAGGATGTTACACATTTACATTGTTAATTTAAAATTTTGAATTGCATATAGTTTCATGGTTAGTTATAGTAAATACCATTGATTAGCTTTCTGTAACATTGATTTGTTTGTTACTATTTAAATGTGTATTAGTAACAATTTATTTATGAAAGTGATTAGTACTTTTTTTTAGAAACAATAAAATTTATTAAAAACCACCGAAGGCTAGCAAGAGGCTAACACTTATAACAAAGCTCATACACCAAGCATTCCAATCAAGAAAAGTGATTAGTACATGTTAACCAGCATTATATTTGATTATGAATTTGTAACACTGATATTGTGAATTTGAATTTTAAATTTCATTGATTAATATTTTTTTACATTGATTTGTAACTTATGAATTTGTTTTAATAAAGATTTATTCTTGAACTAAACTTGTATCAATGATTAATTATTATTTTAAATTGGATAAATTTTTAAAAATCCTATTATATCTTTTAGATTTATTTATTTTTTTATTTTAATTGATTAATAACTGTTTTTTATCAAGTTTTACATAAAAAAAAAATTAGATACACTTTCTAATAAAATAATTTTTTAATTTTCGTAAAATATCACATGTGATATCTACAATCAATTCGTATATGATAATTGTAGATTTTTTTATTAATCATATGTGATAATCGTAGATATTTTTGTTAATCATATGTGATTGTGTCTATTTACATTTATAGATTTTTTATAATGCAAATATTATCTTAAAATTTATTAACAATTATATCAAGTATGTAAAATCGGGATTAGATCTCTTAAATCTCAGTTCACTACTTTCTCCAATTTTCAAAGAAATTCCTCTTCAACTTCTTCGTATATGTGAATAAGACCGAGCATTTACCTATTTAGGCTTTTAGTAGTTAAGTTTCGTTTTATGTTTACTTAAGTCTTAAATCTCGTACATAATTATCATTTATTCCTCATATTATATATTAAAAGACCCCTCACACCTTACCAAATGACACGTTGTAACACGTCGTAACGTGCCATAATGGCTACAATGGAGCCAAACCTTATAATGGAGTCACAGAGGTAAACGTGATGATGAACCTAAGCCTTGAAGCCGTAACGTGCCATAACAAGTTATTTAGAACCATAATTATACCAGTTATTAACTAAGTTGGAAAAGGTTGATCCCAATTATATGGATAATTCAATCTTAATTAGGTTATCGTTTGCGATATGAAGGTTGTTTTAACTATTTTTGGAGAATGGAACATGGTTTAGGCGGGTGTACTTTTGTTTCTTTTCAATAAATTTTTTAAATATACAATTTGTTTTTACAAAAAAAAAAATTTCATGCAATATCGTCAATTATATAAGTAACACATATATTATCCACAAGTCTGTTGCTGATATTACTCATTTTATTTCATTTTATAAATTTATTCCTTAGTAAAATTATATATATATATATATATATATATATATATAATAGAGGAGCGATCAAATGAAAACCACCCTCATTAGTAAAAACCGTACAAACCACCCTCATACGTTGATTTCATTGTTTAATCTTATGAAATTTTTTCATGAAAATGTTTAATATTGTGAAATTGTTTCATATACTACTTTTTTTTGATGAATTTGTTTCATATATGGTTATGAAATTGTTTCATATAATATTTAATGAAATTGTTTCATGTATTTTTCTAAAATTAAAATAATGAAGATGATAATATCCATGATTAACACTCTCTACAAGAAAAATGGTTAATCAACCTCTCATAATTACAAATAAAAACCACTCAGTTTGTAAAAACCGTGAAAATCTCATTCAACCAATCATAATTTTTCATTTTGTTCATTTTTTTGTAATTATGAGAGGTTGATTAACCATTTTTATTGTGAAGGGAGTTAATCATGGATATTATCATCTTCATTATTTTAATTTTAGAGAAATACATGAAACAGTTTCATTAAAATTTCATTAAATATTATATGAAACAATTTAATAACCATATATGAAACAAATTCATCAAAAAAAGTATTATATGAAACAATTTCACAATATTAAACAATTTCATGAAAAAATTTCATATGAGGGTGGTTTGTATGGTTTTTACAAATGATGACGGTTTTTATTTGATAGCTCCTCTCTCTCTCTCTCTCTCTCTCTCTCTCTATATATATATATATATATATAGGTGATTTATTATACAACTCATTACATTTGTACAACCAATGCAACTCAATCTCAACCGTCTATTTAATATGATGAATATGTGATTTTATAAATATCTTGATTGTTTTCTAATATAAAACATTGATCATAATTAATGAATTCATAAATATTCAAATCAATATAAATGAACTTTCATCATTTTCATAAATATTTCAATTGATTAAGTTGTATTGATTGTACAAATATGATGAACTGCATTTGAAACGTCCTACCTATCTACCTATCTACCTATCTACATACATACATATATACCTACATACATACATATATGTTTGTATGTATGTATATATAATCCACTCATTAAATCCTACTAATTTTCATGAATCTTACAGATTAAAATTTGTTGAAGATCATATTTAGCAATTAAGGGGCTATTTAGTTTTTTATTCATTAAGTTCTTAATTTATTAAGTTGTCTCTAAACATTAATTTGTTTGATAATTTAAGATAAATTGTTGTTTGATTTTTGTCATGAATAAATAACATGAACAAGAAAAATTACCATTCTAACTTAAGCCTACATAGTAAAGTGTTGAATGAAAATAATTGTTTGATAAATATTTAAAACAACAAAAAATTAAAATTATTTAAAATAATATAAATTCATTAAGTTCATAACATAATATTTAATAAATTAAAATATAATTAAAACAATAAAGTATTATTATTTGATTACAATTTTTAATTTTTACATGTCAGTAAACTATAATTTTAATAAGATGTGTGATTAAAAATTGTAGAATAAAAGTAATTTTGCAGAAGTTTATAACTTAATGCATTAAGGGGGTGTTTGAGATTACTTATAAAAACAACATATTGACTTATTCCGGTGTGACATCGGTAATAAGCACTTTTGAATGTTTGGATAAACAGCTTATACAGGTGCCAAACTGGTAATAAGAAGTTTTTGAAGAAGTTAAACGACTCTAACTTATAAATTGATAAAGATTTTTGTTGAAAAGAATAAGTTGTTTCAAATAAACAATCACAAACATGTTAAGATAAGATGCACTAACTTAACATGTTAAGCCAATTTCTTAGCATTAAGTTAAAATCAACGCCTTAATATAACTTAACCAATTAAGCTAATTACCCATTAAGCTTATTAAGTTGAAAACAAACACCCCCACTAGTTATTTATATAGAATTCTACGTTACTATCCAAATTATTCATGCCACTGTAACACATTATCACACGGTTCCCAATCTAGTTTTATGTAGATCGAAAAAACGCTTGTTATGGTTTAAAACCGCATAATCAAGTTTTCTATATATCGAAAAAACGCTTGTTATGGTTTAATACTGCATAATCTTGTATAGATTGAAAGTTCTTATGGCTTGTAACATTTTCTACAAAACATAGCGTTTCTTTCATCCTTGTTAAAGCAACGATTTATGTATTTGATGAAAAATCTAGACAGTATTTATCACAAACTCAACCATTCAGTCGGAATTGAAACCTATTGGCATTGTTTTTAATTTTAAGCGAAAATGGAACTGGACAGCACCAAATCGAAAGCACCACGTCCGACTTTGATTCATCTATAAACCCCGACCCTCTGTCACGCCTTCAAGTTTCATCATTCTCAATCTCCTCGTTGTTTCCTCGCATAATTGCCAGTTTTTGTGCTGTAATTGTGTTCAATTCCATCTGGCATTTCTTGAAATTGCAAAATTCGAGAGAAATTTCAGTGATCTTTTGTGGGTTTTTGAGGAGGGGCTCTCTTTTTGATTTCCCTGTTCGGGTTTTCAAGATATGACGACAGGGGAGCATCGGAACGGTAGAGATATTTTCTACGACGCCGTTTCTGGTGCCTCTGCAGGTATACACTTGTCAATTTGGGCTCTACTCTTCGATTTTGATTTCTTTTAGAACGAGGGCTGTTCGATTGTTATCCCTGACATAATGTAGGTTTTTCAAGAAGGGTTTTGAATGTTTACAAGAATATATTGGAATATGATTATGAGGCAAATTAGATATAAGGAAATTGGGATTGTTTAAAGACCTATCTTGGTTGATGGATCAAATTCCTCTGTAAATTTAGATTTACATAACCAATTCATGGATGGATGATGGATCAATTCCTCTGTTCTTGTTTTTGAATCTGCTCCTGTAAAAATTTATCTCAATTTGCATTGTATTAAAAACTTCTCTTGCAAAATGCACAAAAGTTGATAAACTATTTTACTTCAAGTATATCATGGCTCTCAGTTTATGTCGTTTGATGCTGCTGCTTTGCGAATCAAGATCAATATGTCCATATTTTCTTAAATGACTTCATTTTGTAGCTTTGAGCTAACTTTAAAGGGTAAAACCGTAAGCAGACTATCACTTTTTGGTTATGTCTTGTGGTGTAGGTGCTATAGCTGCCACTTTCGTGTGCCCTTTAGATGTGATCAAGACAAGGTTGCAAGTTCACGGCCTACCCGATGTACCTTCCGGGCAAAAAGGTAGTTTGAACACTTTTATCCTAATCTTGTTTTCTTGAGTCATCCAATTGCAACTATGCTTGTTTTCTTGAGTCATTCACTGGGCACAAAGGTAGTTTAAACACAGTCCCCGTATTTGTATACATTATGCTTGTTTTCTTGTGACATACAATAAGCACATATCTTGTAATTTAAATATGAAGTTTTGTTCCAAAACCGTTAGCAGAAGCAATGGTGCATTGCTAAGATTTGGATGATAACCGAGTATTATTGTCACCTAGATATTACGGATGGTATCTTGCATATATTGTATAAAGATATGGTGTGGATCTTTGGTTTGTTTGGTACAATTTTCTTCACATTTACCTTCAGCTCATTTCCTTTTACTACCATCAACATGACGAGTACTTATTTTCTGGAGATTTGAGATCTACTCGTTAGTAGTGGAACTCAAACATGAATTTTTCCATTTAGGTTGGTGGTAAGAGTTGGTTGTGTCTTCGTTTGACAAAACGTCGGTGTTCTTTCGATTGTGGACCCCATTCCATTTTTTCCTCACATGCCATCCATGGAGAAAAAGATTTGATCAGAACAGAAAAAGAAAGAAAGAAAAGAAAAGATTAGATCAATTAGAGGCTTAATCTTACGGATCTTCATTTCGATTGTCTTGTTGTATTTTTCAGATTCAAACTTGATTATGATGTAGCTTTTTTACCTTAAAAGTGCTTCTGCTCGCATGTTTTTCTACTTGTTAACTTTTTGTCATCAGCCATGGAGTCTGATTTGAATCATACATCAAGCACCACCATTTATGAATCCAATTACGTCAGAAACCGCTTATTTTAGATTTCTAGACAGTCAACAAGATAATTGGTCTGTTTCTGTCTGTATTTCTATTCTAAAAGGCAACCAAGCTGTTTGCTTTTTGATGTACAACTGAATTCAAAAACAATATAATAAGAATGATTAGCAATGACTATGAATATGAATGTAGGGAAATCTTCGAACCATATAAATACTTATGTCTTTGGTTAATCGTTTCCTAGAATAATTGTGTGTGAGATTAGCAATTCTAACATTGTTGACACTAATCAGGTGGTGTTATTGTTATAAGCCTACAAAACATTATAAAAAAAGAGGGATTAAGAGGACTATACCGGGGCCTTTCACCAACATTAGCCGCTCTACTTCCGAACTGGGCTGTGAGTATCACTACAAAGTTGCGTTTGGTACGCGGGACAGGACCGGACATAACATAACAAAAGCTTGTTGTCTCACGTTTGGTTCGACATTTAGACTGGGACATTGCATGACCACCACAATAGGTGGAACAGAAATCATGGAGATAAAAACAAGATTGGTAAATTACTAAATTACCATGTTAAATTTAAACCCCAAGACATTGCACGATTCTTTCATCCGCCTACCTCATTCTTGCCCGTCGAGTTCTTAGTACCAAACGCACCCTTACAGTTTCCAATGATATTCTTCTCTTTTCAAAATTTTCTTGACAGATGATTTTTCCATATAGGTTTACTTTGCTGTTTATGGGCATCTCAAAGAGCTTCTGCATTCACATGGTTGGTGATTGATTATTTGATTTGTTTACCTTTCACTTGGTAGTGTCTTCTCGATAAACATGTGAGTGAATAATTCATATGTTTTTCCATTTACTATATGTGTTTCTTTTTGTTATAATATATGCAGCCGATAGTAGCGGCCAACTTAGCTTCGGTACAAACATCATAGCTGCTTCAGGTGCTGGTGCGGCAACAGCAATTGCCACAAATCCGTTGTGGGTTGTTAAGACTAGATTGCAAGTAAGTTCTCTTATGCCTTTTTTTGCTCCCAATATATTTACATCATCTTTCTCCATTTTGAGTCGTTCATTCTCCGCTGGACCTTATCCCATATGGAATTCACTTGGTTCGTACGGTTGGTTTGGTTTGGTTTGGTTTATCGGAGACTCTTATCAGATATCCTGTTTGTTTAGACACAAGGGATGAGAGAATGTGTCATTCCTTATACGAGCATATCATCGGCCTTAAGGCGTATCTTGCAAGAGGAAGGCTTCCGAGGGTGGTACAGGTATGCTTCATAAGTTGTACCCTTACAAAATCCATTCTTTTCTTGCAACCCCAATTCATGAAATGAAACATGTGTCTTTTGACAGTGGACTTTTACCTTCTCTTGCTGGGGTTAGTCATGTTGCCATCCAATTTCCAGCCTATGAGAAGATCAAGTCTTACTTGGCACAAAGGGGTATAAAATGCTCTTCTCTCCATGAAAAATTGCGCCTTTTCGTTTAGCATGTAGCAAATTAATTGAAATGTTAGTACGTTACCCTTGTGGCAAAGTCACGGTCGCCTTATTTATAGTTGAAGGATATTTTATACGTTTAAATTGTGAGACGAGTTGATCTCCGGTGGGCAAAATGCATCAGATTGCCATGAAGTTTGTTTTAGTTTCTATTTAGTGTAAACAAAGATTTTAGTGTAAACAAAGATTTTTTCCAATCAACGTAACGAAGTTTCAAAATTTCCTTTTGTACCCATTTTAACCAGTAACCTGTCGGTTTTGTAACTTTGATTTGATGACTTGGAGGCTGGATGCCAATTTTATCGTCTCCTTTTGTTGACACCCTTTTCATAAATGGGTGTCCAGGTCATCAAGTGTTACAAAACATACAGGTTACTGGTCAAAATGGGCATAAAGGAAAATTTGAAACTGTGTTACATCGATTGAGATTTCCTCATTATACTCGATAGGAACTGATGTATTTGGCCTGTCTTGAATTTCCAGTTCTTGAAGTAATGCTGATTTTGTCTTTTTCAAGTGATCAGATCTTACGACCACGAATGAGCTAAGCCCCGGGAAAGTAGCAGTTGCCTCCTCGATGTCCAAAATACTCGCTTCCCTAATGACTTACCCGCATGAGGTAATTTCATGAGTTCAATTTTAGTTCTATTCTTTTTGGGGTTCAGTTTTCGAAGAATTACAAGCCGGCAGTGAAGCGTCTTCACTGAAACAACCGCTCTACTCTTTCGCATAGAGGTTAGGTCAGCCTACATCATCTCTAGATAGGATATAGTGGGCTCGTTTGATTTGGTTGGGTTTAATTTAGGAAGAAATAATGCATGCGGGATCCTCCAGGTGATTCGGTCAAGGCTTCAAGATCAAGGACAAGTCAGAAACCCTGAAATCCATTATAAGGGCGTTGCCGATTGTGTGAAGAAAGTTTTCCAAAAAGACGGCCTTCCGGGATTCTATCGTGGCTGTGCCACCAATCTTTTGAGGACGACTCCATCAGCCGTCATTACGTTTACCAGCTACGAGATGATCAAGAGATTCTTGCAACACATCCTTCCACCTCACGAGAACCCATCTAAACCTGACCAGCGACATGATGATGGTCGGATGAAGCCTCGGGATGGAACCAAAGGGTCTCAAGATTCACGGGAGTCCAAAAATCGAGTCGAATTGTAATCCAAGAACTGTTGTACATTAAGGGATCAGCTGAGTGAACCATGATTCTAAGGTATCAAAGTGGAAGTTTTTCAAAAGAATAATAAATGTAGGTTTTTTCTTTATAGAAGGTTTTTATTTGATTGTAATAAAAAAAAAATTCTTAATTTGTGTAACGAACGTTTAATTGTTACTATTTCGTATTTATTTTGACTGGTAAATGCTAAATCTTGCAACTATTGGTTACGTGGATGTAAAGTTGTCAATAAATACCGTAATATACTAGAACTAAAATATATATATATATATATGTTATATTTTAAATGCAACCATGTCCATTTGTATAACCAATGCAACTCAATTAATTGAGATATTTTATAGAAATGATGAGAGTTTATTTATTATGATTTGAATATTTATGCAAGATGAATAGAGTCATTAATTATGATCAATACTTTATATTATAAAACAATCAAAATTTCTATGAAATCATATATTTATCAAATGAAATAGATATGTAAAATTGGATTATATTGATTATAAAAATGTAAAAGGTTATATAATAAACAACTCCTCTCTCTCTCTCTATATATATATATATATATATATATATATATATATATATATATGCTTTTTCACCATAATACAATATTACATAATTACAACCCAAATTATTTATAAGGAAATACTATACATCGATCATAGTATACAAATTAATGACTCATTTCTGAACATATGAATCTGCATGATCGTTTTATGTACTGATATGATTCTTGTTTGGCAATACATCTCCATTGCTGCTTGGTGTAGTTGATCCACTCTGCCATTCACCGACGACAGATACCGGCGACAGTGATGGTCCTTTTAACAAACCCACCGTGTCATTGGTGGTTTTCGATGAACCTAGAGGTTCCGAGTCTTTCGACTCTATGATGCCATCGTAACCATCCCTTCTTCCTGCACCCCGAATATCCTTCAACACATCCAACACCTCGGTCATCGTAGGCCTCAATTCCGAATCATACTGTAAACACAGAAACGCCAACTCTGCTACCAATGTGATCATCCTCATGATTTCAGGATCTGAATCGGATCCCAGAACTGGGTCGATCAACTGATCGACCACACATCCTTGGATCCGGTTTATAGCTAGATTCGCTAAACTAATCTCGTCTGAAGGTCTACTCAAATCGATAGCCACCATTGACGATATTAGTTCAACCAACACAACTCCAAAGCTGTAGACATCACTCTTATCTGTTAGTTGGTACCGCTGGTGATATTGCGGGTCGACGTATCCCGGGGTTCCCTGAGGAGTGGTCGACACGTGGCTGACGTCATTCGGTAGGAGCCTCGAGAGCCCGAAATCGGCTACTTTGACGCAGAAATTGTGATCGAGGAGAATGTTATTGGTCTTTACATCTCGGTGTATGATTTCGGTGGCATGAAGGTAGGCTAGTGCACTGGCGGTTTCTATAGCAATGTTCATCCGCATCGGCCAAGTTAGCAAGCTTGGATTTGCTCTGGAACCGTGGAGGTGGTCGGCAAGGGTGCCATTGCGAATGTACTCGTAAACGAGGAGAAGTTCCTGGCTTCGTTTAGAGGTGCAACCATAGAGCAAAACAAGGTGTGGGTGCCGTAGTTTGGCAAGGATTTCGACCTCATTTATGAATTGTTGGACTCGCTTGTAGTTGTGCCTATAAAGTCGTTTCACTGCAACTTCTCGCCCATCTTGCAGTTTACCTTTATTAGAAAGATCGGGTGTTAATAATCGTAGTGAAAGTGAACAAGCAACAATATTCTTATTTGGGATGTTAGATATGTGGAACCCCGTTAGATTATCATACAAAAGAGCCCTTTTACGGGTTCCAACATATATCAAAGAAAGGAAGTCCAAAGATTAACGATTGTGGAAAGTAAAAAATTTATAAGCATTTCAAATTCTCACCATAGTAGACAGCTCCAAAACCTCCATCGCCTAGTAGTCTAGAAGGGTCGAAATTTTGGGTGGCGTGTTTAAGCTCGTCGTAGGAAAACACAGAGACACCAAAGAAGTCACTCCCATCTTCGAAGTCTGGAGATTTTTCCTTCGATGAAACATACGAAAAAGGGCTGCTTTTACGGTTACGCCAGATTACAAAGATAGCACAAGACAACAGCATGAGGATGAGGGCAGATCCAGCAGCAACTGGAGCAAGAAAAATTCAACATCTTCAGATACAGATTCCTATTAGAATATGTGTGTGTATATAGTAATAATGCATAGAATCAAAGAGATATATAACCTGGCATAAGGATCAGCCTCAGATTTCTGCCATGATCTTTTGCAGCAACCAAACATGCAACAAAGGTAAGTTAGACATATATTAGTAAAATCATTTCAGGAATATGTTGCACATCTTGTGTATCCAGAATAAAGATAAAAGGGAAAAAAGAAGCCACAAGTACCCTTGTATAAGCACTCTAACTGTCCATTGTTAGTTTGACACTGGCCTTTATTTTTGCAACACTCCTGGCATGAAGATGACAAATTAAAGAAAATAGAGAATTCATGGGCGAGAAGAGAAAATATGTCGGTTTCATTGCCTTCTGCACATTGCTCCTTCACTGGCAACCGTATTACTTCACATGTAGGTGGGAGATGACTTGGAACTGTTGAATTGCTCACGAGATGATGATTATAGTAGAACTTGTGATCTTTGCAACTTTTGTGGCTATTATAACCATGTTTGATGAAATAGGCATCTATTTGTTCAGCATCCTTGGGATCCTTTGTGCATTTGAAGAGAGTCATAAACGACCGTATTGAAATGGAAAATAAAAGAGGAGTTGGGGAAGTGAAACTAAAGTAAAGTGCATCAGAACTATTCTTTTCTAAAAGTTCTTCAAATCTTCTGTTAGGAATCAAGAAGAAAGAATGATTCCCATGCTTTCCGGCAATCTGATAAGGGTGTCGTCCAAGTTGAATATCCTCATGATTCAAACTACAGTCGACCTGGATCAACCCACGTTGTGCATCACTCGCGTTGTTAAAAGGGTACTCGAGAAGTGTTCCTGAAATTGGGAAGCTATGCATAGAAGTGTCATCATCTGTAGCAGTGCAAATGAGAGGTAAACAAGAGAGAACAGTGGACACAAAAAGAAAGACGAGAATCATTTCAAATGTCCAACAGGAATTAAAGAATACACACACAACTATCTGTGTGTTCTTCAGACTCCACAGATATACATATATATATATATATATACATATATATATATATACATATATATATATATACATATATATATATATATATATATATACACATATGAGTGGAAGTCTTTGGAGAAGTAGTACAAGCTTTCACGTTCACAAACTCAACTTGTATATACGCCAAAAACATAGAAATTCTATCACTTTATCTTTTTCTAAGTTTTCTCATTATTGACCAAAACGATAAAGACTTTGATTCTTCTCCTCCATTAATCCTTAACCCTTTTCAAACGCCAAAACTACACCCTTGGAAAGTTTCTTGTGGATCCCACCATTATCCCCATCACCCCATGTAACACGTCTCCGACTTATCATAATTCCAAAACTTAATTAAAGAATACGTTTACTAAACGCTTACCCGGTAAGTACTTACCATGTAATTTTCTTCACCGGATGAACATAGCAAGGGCCAAGAATCTTACTTGTAATAGCAATGGTAAAAGTGATGATAAGGATGGAGAGTCTTACCCGGGTAAGCGCTTACCAGGTAAATTGTTGCATAAGATATGTTTTGATATACTACAATCTTACCTAATAAAATAAATTATAGTGTTAGACTTCTAACGTTAAGCACTTACCGGGTAAGCATTTAGGTAAACTGCCCCTAAGACTCAACTTGTATGTCTTTCATGTGATGATCTCCGTCTTCCTGATCGAGATCTGCAACCCCTTGATGCTTACAGTTAGAGGAGCCATGGATAACAAAGCATGAAGAATCTCAATCCCTATCTTCAAATGGATGTCTACTTTCCCACCCATCATCTTTGCAACTAGTACCTAACAAGTTTTTTAGGACATTTTTAATACAAAGTGTCGTATTATCAACTTTATAGGACACTTTTGATAAAGTGTCCTATAAACTCAATTTTTTATAGGACACTTGTTTTTTATAGGACAGTTTTTCAATTAGTGTCCTATAAAGTTGCTAATGTAACGTTTTGTATTAAAAGTGTCCTAAAAAACTTATTACGACGTCAAAAAACGTCATATAAACTTATTACAACACCTTTAGATATGATATTTTATTTTTTTGGTCCTATAAATTAAGTCTTATAAAGAGGTCTATTATGACGCTTAAAAATTCGGAGTGTCCTATAAACCCGATTTTGTTGTAGTGTTTGTCCTTTACTTAGATTTCCAATATCATGTACAATCACCCTGGAAAGAAAATATACAGTGTGTATTTGTAGGATTCCGATAGACTATATAAATCCGGTCATGAAATTGCACTATTACGAGTCATGAACGAGCCTTGCACCAACCCGTAAGGTTGCTTCTTTGTGTGCATAGATAACGTACTCAATCGAGCCTAGATTACGGATGAAAACGTTCAAGAAACATGAAACATCAATGGAAATATCCCGCTTGAAGATAATTAAAGGTTTTTGCAGCATCAAAATGCATTTTTTTTCCGGTCTCACCAAGATAAACGACACAAAAATAAGGGATATAAACAAGATTGATAAATTACTTAATTACCTTTTGTTAAATTAAAACCTTGTATCTTTCTAGAATCGTTTTCACCGGCCTATCTCACTTTCACCTTTCCAAACCTTTTTCTAGTCCAGTTTCATAGTATACCAAATGCACCCTTATTATCAATCAAGACAAACTACCGAGACTTTGACTTGTTGACTTTCCACATGGTCCTTGCTCGATTTATCAATTATATCGTCACCTTTTCTTGAAATACCAAAATAACACACACTCAAAATAAATACTTCGCCTATGTAGGAATCAATTACATGTTGTTCTTCATGAATTCAAGGCCAATATATACAACATAATTACAGAGAGATACATATTCCTATGTATCACAATATGATAATATCAAGCAGATATTCTTCCAGACAAATCATGTGCAAAATCACATGTGATTTTATATTAATGGTTAAAAAAAGTGTTCGAGGGACTAGTGGCTCGTCAGACAAGGTCGTCAGAATCACATGTGATTTTATATGTGATATTAGTGTATAATATAGATAACAGTTCAAAATTATCAGAACTCTCACCACTTTGTAAGATAAAAATACATCCACATTGTTATATTAAAAAGAATTATCTTAAGGTATTGTTTTATATTTAAATTTTCTTTATTTAAAGCTAACATTTAATATATTTATGAACATATATTTGTTTTGGAGGGTGTTTGCTTCGTATGCATGTGGTTAATTATGTGAAACCTTTTTATGTAAAGCTTTTATTTCATCAACGTGTGTCAAACAAATATATCATGAAACAAATATAAGGGGCCGTTTACCAAACGTTTACCCCGATAAATGCTTACCAAGTCACATTATATTACGGGATGAACATAGTAAGAATCAAGAATCTTATCCGATAAGAGCGAGCCAAGGTCCAAGAATCTTACCCAATAAGTGAGAGCGACGGCTCTCACTATGGTTAGTGCTTACCGGGTAAATTGTTGTATAAGATGTCACTTTTGTTGACTAAAATCTTACCCGGTAAGTAAACGATAAAGTGGAATTTTATCGATAAACGTTTACCGATTAAGTGCTTGGTAAACAACCCCCTCAATTGATATTCTAAATCCTAATTTAGATGGAAACAAATCATATAAAACAATACATAATACACTAATTCTTCATTGGCAATCGGTCTCCACTGCTGCTTAATGTAGTTGGTCCACAGCTACCACTCTGCCAATCACCGGCGACGGAGGCTGGCGGCGGTGATGGCCCTAACAAAACCACCGTATCATTCATGGTTTCCATTGAAGATGGAGGATCGAAGTGTTCCGATTCTTTTATGTCATCATAAGCACAGGTTCTTCCACTGCCTTGAATATCCTCCAACACTTCCAACACCTCGCTCATTGTCGGTCTCATTTCCGAATCATACTGTAAACACCGAAAAGCCAATTCTGCTACCAATCTGATCATCCTCGTGATTTCGGAATCTGAATCAGATCCTAGAACCGGGTCAATCAATTCATCGACCACGCATCTTTGGATCCGGTTTATAGCCAGGTTGGCCAAACTAATGTCGTCTGAAGACCTACTTAAATCGACAGCTACCAATGACGATATTAGCTCCATCAACACTACTCCAAAGCTGTAAACATCACTCTTATCTGTTAATTGGTACCGCTGGTGATATTGTGGGTCCACGTATCCCGGGGTTCCCTGCGGAGCAGTTGACACGTGGGTGACATCATTTGGTAGGAGCCTTGAGAGCCCGAAATCGGCTACTTTGACACAGAAGTTGTGATCAAGGAGAATGTTGTTGCTCTTTACATCTCGGTGTATGATTTCGGTGGCATGAAGGTAGGCTAGTGCACTGGCGGTTTCTATGGCGATCTTCATCCTTATCAGCCATGTTAGCAGGCTTGGATTTGCTTGCGGACCGTGGAGGTGATCGGCAAGGGTGCCATTGGGAATGTACTCATAAACAAGTAGAAGGTCGTGGCTTTGTTTAGAGGTGCAACCATAGAGCAAAACGAGGTTGGGGTGTCGTAGTTTGGCAAGGATTTCGACCTCATTTATGAATTGTTGGACTTGCTTGTAGTTGTGCTTATAAAGTCGTTTCACTGCAACTTCTCGCCCATCTTGGAGCTTACCTTTTTTAGAAACATCGGGTGTGAATAAATCGAAGTGAGAATGAACAAGCATCAATATTATAATTTGGGGTTCGAGATACATGGAACCCTATCAAATTGGACTCCAACACACCCCTCCAATGGAGGCTAGACGGGTATAGATGCCCCAGAATGTTGGAGCCCCTTTTTAAAGGTAGGCTTTAGGTGTAATGCCACTTGAGATATTTGTAACCCGTCAGACTACTCTCCGAAAGAATCCTTAATGAAAGAAGGGAGTTTCAACATATGTGAGAAATAGCTTTTAAAAAGACAATATTTTAATTTATTAGCAAGTGATAGGAGGTATGTGAAATTCTCACCATAGTAAACAGCTCCAAAACCTCCATCCCCTAGTTCTTGAGAAGGGTCAAAATTTTGGGTGGCATCTTTTAGCTCTTCGTAGGAGAAAACGGAGACGCCAAAGAAGTGACTCCCATCTTCAAGGTCTAGAGTTTGTCCTTTGATGAGACGTACGAAAAAGGGCTGCTTTTACAGTAACGCCAGATTGCGAAGATAATAGAAGACAGCATGAGGATGAAGCCAGATCCAGCAACACCTGTAGCAAGAAAATGCAACACCTTCAGGTACAGATTCCTAGTAATATAGGATCAAAGAAGTATATTACCTAGGATCAGTTTCAGTTTCAGTTTTCCCTTTTCTGCAGCAACCAAACAAACAAAGGTAAGTTATACATTGAACCAAACGAAACTAGCCCCGTGTATTCAAGAAAAGTGTAAAGGGTTTTCCGTGAAGACCTCTGGCTTGTGAAAATTGTGTGAAAGGAATACGTTAGACATATCGATTCTGGTGTATCCAGAATAAGGAGAAAAGGAAAAAAAAAGTACCATTTTTGGCATTTAAACAATGAAACTGTCCATTGTCAACACGACACTGGCCGCCTTTCTTGTGGCACCCATCACAAGATGGTGACAAATGAAAAGCTATAGAGAATTCAGGGGAGAGAAGGGAAAATATGTTGGCCTGATCTACTACTGGATCCAGTTTCACTGGCAGCTGTATTACATCGCACGAATGTGGGAGATCACTTGGAATTGTTGTATAATCAATCGGATATCTATAGTAGAAACTGTAACTGTGATCTTTGCACTTGTAGCTACTGTAATTCTGTAACTTGTGTCGGTCAAAAAAAGAACGAGCATAATTGGAATGATTTGTGCATTTGTAGACAGTCATGTTGCTGAAGATTGAAATGGAAAACAAAAGAGGAGTTGGAGAAGTGAAATTATACTCAAGTGCCTCACAGCTTTTATCATCTACAAGATTTTCAAATGTTTTGTTCTTGATAAAGACAAAAGAACGAGGCCAAGGCCTGCGCGTAATACTGTACGAGTGATTTCCAAGTTGAATTTGGCTAAGATTGGAGGTAGAACAGCGGACCTTGATCAACCCACATTGACTACTGTCACTGGCATTGTAAAAAGGGTACTTGAATGGGGCTAAAATTGGGCTGCAGCTGAAACTTTCCGGGCAGATAGGGGTAGAAGCGTTATCGTATGTAGCAGAGGAAAGCAGCAGAGGTAAACAAGAGAGAAGAACCGACATGAAAAAGAAGATGATCAGCATTTCAAATGTCCAACACAACAGATAACTACCTACCGGTGTTCTTAACACTCCATTATGCACATGAGTGTGTATACATACATACATACATATATCTTCTACCACTATGTGTTCTTGGGGGTAAAAGATGGGACTTCAATTCTTATGTGACTACCATTTTACAAGCCTTCACATTCACAAAATCAACTTGTATACCTTTTTTTTCTAATTATTGACCAACACCATCACGAAGTTGACTCGTCAACTCTTTTCCTCCATTCATTCTTATACCCCCTTTCAAACGCCAAAAGTACACATTTGGAAAGTTTCTTGTGGTTATCCCCTTGTAATACGTTTCGACTTAAACATAATTCCAAAGTTGATTAATTAAAGAACAAGAAATCTTTAAACACCGTTTTCTTGAATTTTCTCGTCACACGTATCAAAATCAATTCTTGCTTTTTAGATTTCAATGCGTGATTTGACTTGATTCTAATATAGAAGGGGTTTTAGAAATTAACCCACTAATTGACTTGAAGTTTCTAAAGTCTCTGATTGGAACTCCCATGTGCCAAAACACACATATTTTGTTCAAATTCTGTTTCATTGATGAAGACAAACTACCAAGACTTGACTTGTTGACTTGCCATGGTCCTTTCTCCATTTATCAATTATCATCCTTTGCCTTTGTTTAAAACACCAAAATAGCATACATACTTCCCCTATGTAGGAATTAAATGCATCTTGGTCTTCAAGTTGGATCAATCAAGTGTATCTAAACTATAACGAGAACAGTACGATTACGATATTTTTTTTAATATATTGTTTTTATCATCAGAAATAATATTGAATTCATATAAAAACCATTTTTCTAAGTATATCTTAGATGCAAAATCAATCAATAATCATTTCTAAATTAAATATTATCTACTAGAACATTTTATGTTGCATCGTCAATTTGTTCCATCATAAAAAATATCCTATGATATATTTTTGGTACATAGAATGACATCATTTGAGGTCACAAAGTTAATTTTTCTGATTTCCGAACAACACTATGTAACTCAATGTAAATAGGTTGGTTTTCCATGTCACCTCATATTAATGTTTTTAACACCATTTTAAAACTTTTATATTATGTTCTCAAATATGGGAAGGGACGAAAAGAATGAAAAAGGACGAAAAATAAAGTTTGTTTTTGATAGAGAAGAGAAAGGATGGGAAAATAATGAAATAAAAATAAATTTTAATATAGTTTTTTTTCCTTTCCTTTTCTTTTCCTTTCCCTAAAGAATCTCGACAACAGAATATTTTTCTTCCCTCATTACTTTCCTCTCTTTCTTACGTAAAAAAAGACTCAATAACATAATTTTAAGGTTAAAACAAACTTTTTTGGAATTATCAATCTTATAAATAAATAAAAACTCATGTTGGTGGATAGTTTGAGAACTTATTCTTCTTTTAGAGATAGAAGAGTACTTAAGATTTATGGACTCAATATTAGATAATAAAGAACAACTATGAAAAAAAATAATTATAGTTTTATTATTCTAAATATAGATATAAATTGTACCGTCTCATATCGTTGGTAATTTTTTCAAAAGATGGGGTTTTGTTAGCTAATAAAAAAAATTTATTATATTCTAAAATAAAAATAGAATTCACGCGAGAATGAAATAATCAAAAGAGTTGATCAGAGATAGATTATGGAGAATATATCAAAGTTTTCGAGGCAATTTAAACATCGGTTTTAGATTAGAAAAAACTAAGAGAAATATCAAATAATATTATATAATGAACAACAAATTAACATTTTTATGTATTTTTTTCTCCAATATATTTAATTAATACATGTGTGGGTCTTAATAGTTAATGTAGTATCAAAATCTTTTTTAGTCCTATTAGATACTACTTTTTTATGTCTCTTTTATTTACTATTTTTTTTTTTAATTACTATTATATATACTAAAAAATTTAGGCCCCTAATTTTCGGACCTTCCCCAGGAACGGCACTAATATGGCTCCTGCGATAACAAGGAAAACAACGGTGATGGAGGAACGGATTAAAAATCTTGAAAAAAAGATCGAGATTAAAACAAAAAATTTGAAGATCAAAACGAGAAATTCGAGGAGATGATGCAATTGATGCTAGAAATGAAATTGTTGCCTTTAACAGAGTCAACAAGAAGCAACAACAACAGGGGAAATGTAACACCCGGGATTTTGTAATCTAGTTACTTTGGGTTTGAATTATGTTTTAAGCAAGAAAATGCCATTTATTAAATCTTAGATAAGTTTAAGGGTAAGAAGCCTAGCAAGATAAACCCTGAAAAGAGCAAGTGTATGAAGCATTTCAAGCTTCTTGTAGTGATGCGACCCTTGGGTCGCAGGCCACGGTCGTATATTATGTACCTTAAGTGGCAAGCACCTCATGGGTGGGGCCACCTTTGCAATCCGAGCCCAAGGTCTCAAGCCACCATCGCCAGAAACATCCAAAGCGTGCGGGCCTTGGACGCGACCGACCCTTGTGTCATGACCCTAGGGTCACAAACTAAGGTTGTATGAGTTTTCTGGACGTTTTTAAGGGCCAATTTTCTAGTGTTCCCTCATTTTCTCATTTCCTTTATGGTTTCGGTGATTTTTGGAGCTTGGAGACTAATTTTTGGAGCTTTTCAAAGTGTGGTTTAAGGATTGGCAAGCTCCACATAAGGATTTCACTTGGGTCTTCATATTTGAATAGGTAAGCTTTTTGGGTATTTCTAGACCTATATATGAGGTTCTTGGTGTTTGAAGTTGTGTTAGGATATGTTTGGTACACTAGACAGAACAAATCAGAATAGGATTCTTGTTCAATGTTCGGCAGTACTTCTATGTGGAACAGACAGGAACAGAGTGAAATAAAGTGGAACATCCATGTTTCACCTATACCCCCATGGAACATGGAACAAGGTGGAACACATGTATATTTTACCAATATAACCTCAAAATAAAACTTAATTTTCTTCTAAAATATCAAATATGTCTCATTTTTACATTTTACTCATTCTTTAAATTTTATTTATTGTATTTTATGTTTTTTTAAATTTTCCTGTTATTATCCTCAAAATATTATCTTTATAAGGTTTCTATATTTTTATTAATTTATGTAATTTATTATATATTAATAATAATAAATAATGTATAAAATAAAAATTGAAAACTACATAAACTTTTTATTTTGATGTCATTTTAATTGTTTTGACGAAAACATGCTAATGATATATTTTGTTATAAAAAATAATTGTTTTATTATAATTCAATAAAACACATAAATTAATCAAAATGTATAAACAACTCTTTAGGGGTAAAATGGTCATTTTACTTGTTTTGTTTTGTCCAGTTCTAGCTTACCACATGTTGAATAGTTGTTCTATCATGTTCTGTCATGTTTTGTTCTTTTACTCCTATTATGTCCTAACATATCTGGACACCAAATGCACTCTTAAATTTGATGTCTCGTTGGCTTGGTTGAAGAGCTTGAGGAGTTTCCTTGGAGAGGTTTGCTTATGAATCACAAACCTTCATCCCTGGGAAGCTAGAGCTTTGGAATTTTGGAATATAGGTTTAACTTAACCCAGCAAGGTGAGTTCAAGTTGCTTTGTGAAATTTTGTACATGTCAAAAATGTCTATTATGGAGTCTTAAAGTATTTTCTTTTAAGAGTTATCAAGCGTGAACGATTTCTTAGGGGTATTGCATTTTTGCACTTCTGTTCTTATACAGTATTTAAAAATGCTTATATTTGAGACTTTGAACATTTTAATTAATGAATCGTAAAGGGGTGGTTTTTATGATTTATTGTATCTACAAGGATTATATAATGTTAATATATTTATGATGCATTTTGGAAGTATAAATTGTTTGGTTCTCATTTGGAGACGAATTATTCCAACAATGGTGGATTTTGATCAAATCATACTTTTGAGCTTGAGTTTGCATAAACATCGTGTAAATGCATATTTTGATTTATGTTGATTTTATTGAATATTAACGTATGTGTGGAGTCTATTGGTTTGATTTTGGATAAAATGAGTTTTGAGGACATTTGTCCGGTTTAAATTACTCAATGTTGAGTTTTGGACGTGATTGCATTTGTTGCATATTTATTTGGAATTTACATGTTTTGAATATGTTGGTCATTCATTTGAGGTCATGTGATTTTAGACTGTATGCAATGGATCCATAGCATATGAGTTATTAGTCGTATGATGAGTGAGGAGTGTTAATGTTCGTACTCTGAGACCAGTGCTCGAGTAAAGCATGGTGCTTGTGTTAGTATTGAGGAGAGGGACTCGTGTGGATTGGACTCTGGGACTGTGGGTATTGCGGAGGTGAACTCAAATGAGTCGGACTCCTGGACCCTCTTTTAGCCTTTTGGCCAAGATGAGTAGGCACTAAGGACTCGATACTTGAGGTGCTACCCGATGGGGTAGGTACTAAGGACATGAGCCTTGAAGTGAAACTCCAAAGAGTAGGCGCTATGATTATTGAGTCTTGAGGTGCTACCCGAAATTATAGATACTAAGAACCATGAGCCTTGAGGTGCTACCCCATGAGGACATGAGCCTTGAGGTGTTACTCATTTGAATAGACACTAAGAACAATTGAATCTTGAGGTGTTACTTGATAACGTTGATATATGACTAACTTTGTTTTCACCAGATTCTATGGATACGGGTCTCTCCCGTCACTAAAAGGTATTGGTTTTGGGTATTGTATTATCAATGTTTTTAGTGTTGTTTTGGGCCAGAGAGTATCCATAATTTATAGTTTTGGTATAATGAAACCTTATTCATATTTTTGGTGTTTCGGATAATGGAGTTTTATTCATATTTCTGGTATTTGATTATTAAACCTCATTCATATTTTGTATGAGTAGTGGGTTTTGGTTTCACGATTAATGAGGGTTTTGACTAATGAGTTTTTATCGCGAAAATGGCGGGTTTTGTGGAAATAAGTTGTTTTTACATTTAATGCATTTCATTT